TGGGGGCGGTAGGATTCGGTCCTTTCTGTTTCATAATGCTACTCCTATTGTTTTGAAAGGGTGCTTAGTTTTAGTAAGAGTTTTATGGCACTTGAAACACAATAAGGTCATACAAGTGCCGAAGAATTGAGGTATTGCGAGAGAGTAACAAACACAAACACGGAGGAGGGGAGATAAAGACTATAGATGTTTGATAGGAAAGAAGAAGCAAACCACACAAGAGCACCCGCCAACCACCCACTGAAAAGGTGTGCTTGGGGAGATTTTAGTAATGTAACAGAAATGAAAAACAACCTCCACACATAGCCCATGTGAGATGCACAGTTAAAGGTAAAATTGTAAAATTGTTACCTTTTGAAAAATGATTTATATCGCCCTACTAAGTAAAGAGTATATCATTTTTTAAGGCACGAGGGGAGGTGGGGGGGGGAGGTGGAAGTATTACAAGTCGTACCTGATACTTTATCGACAAGTTGCGCTCATTGTTTAGTAGCATGGCTGCAGCACTCGTGATCGTGAGATTGCAGCTACTTGGGTTCGATTCTCATTCTCCTTCCAACGTTGTTTCCTTGGGATATGCAAGTTGCACGGCATGTATTTTCCCATTTGGCTTGGTCCTTTCGGAAATGGACACACGATTTCGGAGGCTCCGCCTGTTAAATATCTTAACAATGTTACAAAGAGATAGATCTATTCAATTCATACAATTCTGCACACTTTCTTTTCCCTCTTGATAACAATTCACCTGTATTGACAATTGTATTGACAATATCCTCAAAAACACGAGCACCTCTCTCATGTTTTTGTTGGTAGCGTTGATGTTGGAATTTTGTCTGTTTGTTTGGCGTTTTGTTTTGTCTTTGGCACAGTTGACTTTAACCCTTTGACTGCCCGTTTGCCTGGGCCACCAGTACAGCGGTGAGCGAGACCCCATCCGCAGCCTGACCCGCCTGAGATAGAGCGCGTACGGAAAACAGCGTTTACCTCACAAGGCGTTATTGATTATTTTGAAGATCTTTTTGAACAAAATGCTACTAAAGACAAGATGGATTGGACACACTTTCATCAAGTCAAGCAGCTGCATAACAAAGATCAACAAAAAGGGTAAAACATCAAGAGGAAGATCACGTGGAACCTGGAGAAGAGTCACGGAAATGGATGTACAGAAAAGTAGGAAGACAAGGAGTGACATCAAGGGACTAGCCCAGGATAGGGAAATGTGGAAAGTATTTGTTCGTGGCCTATATCCTGATCCAGGGTGAGAAAGGCAATGGTGATGAATGACAAGAACTACCCTGAGGGAGGTATGGAATGTGATTTTGACGGTCATAATATGAATGTAACAAAAAATATCGCTCAGGAGCTCAGGCAAAGGGGTACGGTAGCCCCAGGAGGTCAGGGCTCAAAGGTTTAAGCAAAATCTCCAGTCGCAAAAGGCACCGATCACCTGTCACCTGTAACCCTGCCACATGTCACAACTGCTGTGGGGTTTTTTTCTCCTTTTTGGTGTTTTACGGCGCTCGCACCTGCATAAGGTCATATGAACGCGCGGGACACATTAACTTTTTCAGTTGGTAGGAAATTATGAATGTTGCCCGGGGTGGCGGCCGAAGCCTACTCTTATCGACTTTAGACCACCGAGGGATCTTTAACATGCACAACTTGCACACTGGACCTCCGAGATTTTTGCCCTTGTCCGAGTAGGCTGGTTGTAGATCTTTCCTACCAGAAGATCAGGGGTGTGGCTGAAAGACTTCAGTAATAAGGAGACAAGAAGTAGTAGTAGAAAGGATGCAGAAAAAGTCAGGAGCCCAGAGGAGGGGGCAAAGGAGGTGAGGGTTTGGAGGCAGAAAAAGGAGACGAAAGCAGACGACAGAACATTGTTAGAGAGCAGGGAAGAAGGTGAAAGGAGACAATTTTAGAGAAAAAAATTTTTCGGTCGCTACTCGTATTCGAACCTGGGACCTTTGAATGAGAGGCAAACACCTTAACCTCCAGGCCACGAGAGCCCACATTGATTATTTTGAATATCTTTTTAAATAAGATGCTACTAATAACAAGAACTACCCTGAGCCGGATATGAAATGTGATTCTGGCGATCATAATGTAACAAATATATCGCTCAGGAGCTCAGACAGAGGGGTACGGTAGCCTCAAGAGGTCAGGGCTCAAAGGGTTAAGCAAAATCTCCAGCTGCAAAAGGCACCGATCACCTGTCACCTGTAGCCCTGCCACCTGTCATGACTGCAGTGTTTGTCTACTGGTTACCACGTTTTTGCTACAACATTACATGTCTCTATACTCCTTCATGTCCTTTTTTTAGGGG